GGGCTGGGAACAGAGAGAGAAACTCCTTGGAGAGAGTTCGGAGCAGTACATCTCTGTAGGCAGAAGGAGACTTTGTTCTCACAGTCAAATCTAAGTTTATTTTACTTTTTCTTTTTAGTAGAGATGGGGGTTTTGCTATGTTGCCCAGGCTGGTCTCGAACTCCTGGCCTCAAGCGATCCTCCTGCCTAGGCCTCCCAGAGAGCCGGGATTATAGGCGGGAGCCACGGCCGCGCTGGACCCAAAATCTGAGTCTGGAAAATCAGACGGTCACATTCCCCAGGGAGCAGTTGTAATTTTTTCAATTCTTTCTTTATGGGGAAAGTTTTAATCTGCTCATTTAGAGAGACGTTGTGATCAATAATAAGCTCAGGTGCTTATAATTAGAAACCATCTCCGGAGGAACATTAGTTCCAGAAGATTTAGGTTCTTACGTGACTCTCGACTTTGATTCTTAGAGGCAAAGTGAGCCGGGGGGCTGGTGTTGCCCGTCCCCGAGCACGGACGGTGTGGAGGGGTGGGAACGGGCCGCGCCGCAGGAACACGGGTCCCGGGTCCGTGAAGCGTGTCCAGGAACACGCCATGGCTGGGACAGGCCCCAGGGAGCCCCCATGAGGACTGGGTCCCCCCGGAGAAAAGTCCAGACACCGTGGGGTGCAGCTTGCTCTGTGCTCCAGCCTGGAAGCCACGGCATTAACTCACCGCCTCGCTCCGGGGACTCGGAGCTGAGCGAGAGACCCAGCCCCGTCCCAGCGCCAGGCGGGTTCTGCTAGGGAGGAAATTGCTGCTCCCCCATCCTGGGTGGATGGAAGCTCTACGAAGGAGCCACGCGTTTCCCTCTGAGAGACGGGACGGGACGGCGGCCGCGGCTGCCTCTGATGCAGATGCCGGGCTCTGAGTGGCTGCTGCCATTAGCGACTCGCAAATGGCGCTATTTTTCCTGCAGCCGCTGGGTAATTTCCCCAGAGGATCCGGAATCACTGCCCCGGGGCTGGTGTTTTATCTGCCCTGCAGCCGTCGGGGCTCCCAGAGGCTACTCTTTGCCCAGAGTTGAGTGCAGAGGTGGAGGGACAGAGTGCTGGGCCGCACCTGGGCAGGTGGGGTACCTGGGAGGGTAGGTGGGGGCACCTGGGCAGGTGGGGCACCCAGGTGGGCATGTGGGTGTACCTGTGTGGGCAAGTGGAGGTATCTGAGCAGTTAGGTAGGGCACCAAGGAGGGCAGGTTGGGTACCTGGGAGGGCAGGTGGGGCACCTAGGAGGGTAGGTGGGGTACCTGGGCAGGTGGGTGTACCTGGGTGGGCAGGTTGAGGCATCTGAGCAGTCAGGTAGGGCACCCAGGAGGGCAGGTGGGGTACCTGGGAGGGTAGGTGAAGGCACCTGGGCAGGTTGGGTGTACCTGCGTGGGCAAGTGGAGGTATCTGAGCAGTCAGGTAGGGCACCAAGGAGGGCAGGTTGGGTACCTGGGAGGGCAGGTGGGGTACCTGGGAGGGTAGGTGGGGTACCTGGGCAGGTGGGTGTACCTGGGTGGGCAAGTGGAGGTATCTGAGCAGTCAGGTAGGGCACCCAGGAGGGCAGTTGGGGTACCTGGGAGGGTAGGTGGGAGGTAGCTGGGCAGTGGGGTGGGGTATCTGGGCGGGCAGGAGGGGTACCTGGCTGGGCAGATGGGGTACCCAGGAGGGCAAGTGGGGGTACCTGGGCATGTGGGGATACATGGGCAGGTGGGGTACCTGGGCAGGCAGGTGGGGGTACATGGGCAGGTGGGGTACCTGGGTACATGGGCAGGTGGGGTACCTGGGCAGGCTGGTGGGGGTACATGAGCAGGTGGGGTACCTGGGAGGGCAGGTGGGGTACCCAGGAGGGCAGTTGGGGGGTACCTGGGCAGATAGCTGGGAGCACCTTGGCAGGTGGGGTACCTGGGTGGGCAGGTGGGTGTACCTGGGCTGTCAGGTGGGGTACCTGGGCCAGCAGGTGGGGGTACATGGGCAGATGGAATACCCAGGTGGGCAGGTGAGTGTACCTGGGCTAGCAGGTGAGGATACATGGGCAGGTGGGGTACCTGGGCAGGCAGGTTGGAGCACTTGGGCAGGTGAGGTACTCCCGGTGGGCAGGTGGGTGTACCTGGGTCGGCTGGTGGGGTGCCCCTTTCCCCCTGGCCTGCGCCTCCCACCTCACCCACCCGTGCTTTCCCTCACCACCCGGTCCTGGGCTCTGCTCTCCAGAGCGAGGCCGTGGCAGGTTGTTAAAGGCACATTCAGGTGTTGTGAGTCCTGAGTGAGACCCACCTGTCACAGGTGGGTCTCCCATCTGCGTGGGACCCGGGGCGCTGCATGTTGACCGGGGACGCAGGGGACGGCTGTGACCCCTCACTCTCTGCGCCAGACCGCGCCGTGGCGACAGGACGCTGTGGGTCTCACGGGCACAGGTGCCCCGAGGCAGCCCTGGACGGGCTGGCTTGGCCTCCTCCTTCACGTCCCGGAGGCTGGTCTTCTCCCCTCTTCCCCCCTCCTGCTGGCTCCAACCCCAAACTGCCCACAGACAGGGGCTTAGGGGCAGCCAGGTCGGCAGATGCCGGGCGGGGTGTGCCGTGAGCCGCATGAGCCACATGCCACGGACGTGTCCACACCATGGCTGCAGGTTACAGATCGATCAACACCTACACCTGGGCCCCCAAAGGACGCCCTGACTCACGTCCGCCGTGGCCTTCTGCACCTGTGTCACCGGCACTGCAGTCGGGGTCCGGGTGGCTCTGGGGAGTTTGCGGCTTTTTTGCAAATTCCTGCTGCACCCGCCCACCCCAGGTGTGCTCTGCGGCTGTTTCCAAACCAAGATTACGGAATATGTCTGTGGGGTGATGGGGGCCCCTCTCTGGCCACATGACGAGGGGCGAGGCCCTCCCCCACTGGCAGGTGCTCTGGGGAGGTGGAGGGGCCCCTGGGACCCCCCCCACTCCTGAGCACGGAGGCCGAGGCCGCCCCTTCCCGAGACCTGGGAGTGGAGGGGCCACCCGGGGGCAGCAGGGGCCGGGGTCCTTCCTGCCTGGCAGGTTCTGGTGGATAGTGGGCGGTCGGGGAAGGGGGGGCTTCCCCATCCGCCCCCCCTGCAGGTGGGAGACCCCACCTGCCCATGTACCCCCACCTGCCTGCCCAGGTACCCCACCTGCCCATGTATCCCCACATGCCCAGGTACCCCCACTTGCCCTCCCAGGTACCCCATCTGCCCAACCAGGTACCCCTCCTGCCCGCCCAGATACCCCACTCCACTGCCCAGGTACCTCCCACCTACCCTCCCAGGTACCCCACCTGCCTTCCTGGGTGCCCTACCTGACTGCTCAGATACCTCCACCTGCCCACCCAGGTACACCCTCCTGCCCAGGTGCCTCCACCTACCCATCCAGATACACCCCCGACACAGGGGGTCAGGTTGCCCAGGGAGGCCCGAGCTGGGGGTGTGTGAGTGGCAGGTGAAGGCTTCTACGTCCTGACCCTCTCCAGGCACTCCCTGTACTCCTCAGCCTCCTGCGGAGCGCCCGAGGTGCGGATTTTTGAGCTCAGGAGTTCGAAACGAGCCTGAGCAAAGATGCAGCCCTGTCGCTCTTCAAATAGAAAGAAATTAATTGGCCAACTGATAATAATATAGAAAAATTTAGCCGGGCATGGTGTGTGCATCTGCTATTCCCAGGTACTCGCGAGGCTGACGGCAGGAGGATCACTTGGTCCCAGCGAGATTGAGGTATTGTGCTGTGAGCTAGGCTGACACCACGGCACTCAGTCTAGCCTGGCACAAAGTGAGACTCTTCTAAAAAGAAAGAAGAGGACAGAGAGAGGAAGGAGGAAGAGAAGGAAGGAAGGAAGGAAGGAAGAAGGAGGAACGAAGAAGGAACGCGAAGGAAGGAAGGAGGATAGGAAGGAGGAATTAGCTGGACGATCTCGAAATATATTAATAACATCAGCACACATACACACTTACTAATAAACGTTTTTTTAAAAATTATACCAGGCACCGGTGGCTCTGCTGTAGTCCCAGACTAATCAGGAGCTGAAGGCAGAAGGTAAGCTCA